GAGCAGACGAAACCCATAAACAGAAGCGCGCGTCGGCAAACTTCGACTCACGCAGCGCCGTGGATTAAATCCACCGAGCCGACCCCCGCTTGCCTGGGGTGAAAAGGCGTGTGAAATATTCGGCTCCAAAATTGCATCAGAGGGGGGGAGAGCAAGGGAGGGGGCCCAGAGGGAGGAGGGCCGGAGCTCCAAAACGCATCTCGGGCGCCTCCGGAACCACAAGAAAGCCCAACAAGACCCAAACAAGGCGCCAAGACACCCCAAATAAAATCGCGATGGCCGACAGTAGCCCAACGACAGTCCCAAATGGCTTCGTCACGGACCAGGTGGCCACCACGTCAGCCCCAAAAGTGCTCCCAGTGGACCGCCGAGCGAGCCCCCAGTGGCAAAAAGACATCACATGTTCTGCAGTAAGCGCATACTTTTAGCAAACTTTCCACTTTCGTCTCCACAGCGTTCAAGACGGCCCAAGGGGCCCCCAAGATGGTCCCAAGACGGACGATCAGGCCCCCAAGAGGGCTCCAAGACAGCCAGCCCAAAGTCGTCCAAGACGACCCCAAGACGGCGCAAGGAGCCCTCTAGATGGCCCAAGTGAGCCCCTGGAGCACTGGGCCTAAGGTAGGGGATTACGAGCTGGTATTCCCAGCCCTTCCCCCCACGATAGGCCCATGAGCCCCTCAGAAGCCCACAAGAGGTTACAGCCTCCAAATAGCCCCCCAGATGCCTCGAACAGCACTCCAAGAGGCCCCCCGCAGGCATCCCAAGAGACCCTCATACGCATCCAAGAAGCTTTGGGCTGCTACCCACGCACGGTGAGGGGCTGTTCCGACAGTCACAAGATAACTTCCACGATCATCGCAAGCTCTCGCTCCGTCTGGGGGACGGCGGAATTGCGTAAACCATTTGTATACATACATATAGATGTATGCATATATGTGAACGTGTACGTATGTATGTGTATACGTGTGTGCATGGTATACATATATATATATCTATATATGTACATCTGATGTGTTCTACATGTCTGCGTGTACGTATTACCCGTATGTGCGTATGTGTGGATGTATGCTCGGTTGTATATATGTATGCATGCATGCATGTGCGGACGCATATAAACTTATGAATGCTCTATGTACGTGTGAACAGACACACGTGTAGAGATGAAGGATCCCCGCCCGAATAAGTCGGATGGCCCAGGGGCGAGAAGTGACCCCGAGACGCCGAAATGTCACTAACAAAAGACAAGGTTGAAACCATGTGCAGCTGCGCCCAGGGCGTGGCCACCTTTCCCAGACGCCGCGCGCCGCGAGAGGGGGTGGAGTTCGGGACAGCGCGAGTATGAGTAGCGCAGCAAGCGCGCAGAGGCGGGCTGAGCTCCCATTGGGGCACGACCCGCATAAGGGGTTAAGGGGTGTGCTGACATGGGCGGAGGCCCACATGCGAGGACGCCTACTGGGGCCGCTTGTGGAGCTCCCGCTAAGATAAGGCACAACCCGTGTGAGGGGTGTTCCCAAATGGGCGGAGGCCCGCAAGCGAACTCGCCCACTGGGCCGGCAGGTGGAGTCCCCATGTGAGGCGCGATCCGCGCGTGGGAGCTGCGCCGAAACGGAAGGAGGCCCACGTGCGGGTGCTCCCTCTGACGCCGCGGTTGGAGCTCCTCGTGAGGGCACGAAACGCGGTGCGCGCACGCGTCCACTGTCGCCGTGGGCGGAGCTCGGGGGCACGAAGTGCGCGAGGGGCGAAGCGACAGGGGCGAGGTGCGGCATGCGGGCGCGCCCGCCAGGGTCACGGGTGGAGCACTCCGTGAGGGGCACGAGACGTGTGAGGGGCGTGGCCACGTTGGCAGGCTGCTGCCCGGCGGAAAGCGAGGGGGGGAAGTAGGAAGGAAAAGGCCTTCTCAGAAGGTTCGGAAGTCTCCAGGCCTGCTGAGAAGTGTTCTGAGCCTTCCCCGAAGACGGAGAAAACTCCTGAGAAGGCGCGCGGGCTTCTGAGAAGTCCCGCCGCCTTCTGAGAAGGCCTTCTCCTTTCCCCCCCCCCTCGCTCGCCGCCGAGCTGCAGCCAGGCGCGCCCCTCGGGGGCCACAGGTCAGGCTCCCCGGGTGGGGGGCACGAGACGCGTGAGTCGCATCGGAGTGCGGCCTGCGGACGCGCCCACTGAGCCCGCAGACGGAGCTCCCTTGGCTGGGGGGGAGGCACGTGCGGAAAGCAGAGGCAAAGGGGGGAAGGGGAGGAGGGAGGAGGGAGGAGGAGGAGGAGGAGGAGGAGGAGGAGGAGAGGAGGAAGGGAGGAGGAGGAGGAGGAGGGAGGAGGAAGAGGAGAGAAGGAGAAGGAGGAGGAGGAGGAGGAGGAGGGAGGAGGAGGAGGAGAGGAGGAGGAGGAGGAGGAGGAGGAGGCAGGAGGGAGGGAGGGAGGGAGAGGAGGAGATGAGATAGGAGACGCGCGGCGAACAGCATACGGGGGGGGGGAAACATAATCGGATGTCTGGGGCTGCCACCCTCAAAGCCAACCCCTATCCTTGGGCGGGTCGTGCCTACGATTCTGAGCCAGTCAACCATGGCGACGAGGGCGCCCCCAGAAGCCCCCCCCCAAAAAAAAAACTCGATCCCCGACCCTTCGGTTTCTGGAGGTCTTGATCTAAAATTTGTAGGGGCACTCTGGAGGTCGCCAAGAAGTCCCTGGAGGCCTCCTGAGGTACCCAGATGCCACCAGAAGCGATAACCCAAAGAAAATCATGATCACCTATGTTAGCCAGCGTGGACCCCAAACACTGCATTCTAGTATACTACGTGGTGCAATATATGTCATTCCCCAATCAGAGTTTGCCCCTGTAGGGGTCCTAGCGGATTCATATGGTTTGGTTAGGTTTGCCGCCGATTTTCGCCGCACGCCCGGGTGCTTGGGTGCCCGGGGGTGCCCAGGGCCCGGGTGCCCGGGGCGTGCCCGGGGGGTGCCCGGGGGGGCCCGGGGGCCCCGGTGCCCGGGTGCCCGGGTGCCCAGGCGTGCCCGGGGGTGCCCAGGGGTGCCCTATAGCCGTATAGCCCTAAGCCCTATAGCCCTATAGCCCTATAGCCCAATAGCCCAATTACCCTATAACTCTATAGCCCTATAGCTCTATAGCCCTATAGCTCAATCGCCCTATAGCCCTATAGCCCTATAGCCCCATAGCCCTATAGCCCTAATTGGGATTGTTCTCTGGTATCATGCAATATATGTGGTGTGAGCTACGCGGTGCAATACGTATGGCGCAATATTTGTAGTACAATCGATGTGGTGCAATGTACGCTGTGCAAATCATGTGGTGCAATATATGTGGTGCCATCTATGTTGTGCCATACATGTAGTGCAGTCTAGGAGGCGCAATATATGCTCAGACTTATACGTGGTGCAAACTATGTGGTGCAAACTGTGTTCAGCAAATATGTGGTGCAACATATGTTGAGCAATGTATGTGGTGCAATCGATGTTAAGCAACATACGTGAGCAGCCTACGCGGTGCAATACATGTGGTGCAAGGTGTGTGGCACAATCGCTGTTAAGCAATCTATGTGGTGCAATCTTCGTGTTGCAATCTACGAGGCTCGCATAATCAAAATTGAGACCAAAATGCGGCGGCTACGGGCGGCGGCGACGGGCGGCGAAAAGCCAGCCGGAACGCCAGCCAGGCCCAAACGGGCGACGGCGACTGGCCGCGACGGGCGGCGACAAGCCGGTGGATCGTCAGTCAGGACCAGTTCCTTAGAAGACAAATAAGAACACCTAAGTGCAAGCACTTTTGGCTGAAATGAAAAATTCTTCTCCTCCCCCTCCTCCCCCGACTCCTCCTCCTCATCCTCCTCCTCCCCCCCCTCCTCCCAGACATCCGACGATGTGAAGACTTCAATCCACACGCCCCAAAGGTCTCAACCCCTTTCCCAGGGAACATCTGTCGTTCAGGGTCAATGCCTGATGGTCGAAAACAACCATCAAATCCGCCGTAGGCCTGACCTCCTCCTCCTCCTCCTTTTCCTGCATCCCTCTTCCTGATAGATACCTCCCCTCTGTCGCATTACCAGACATGTCCGTGGCCGCGCCGGATATGTCGCTAGAGATGTCCTCACAATGAGCTCGCATCAAGCTAGATAAGCTCCTAAAATTACCAAGGACGGTGGACTGGTGGTTTCCAAAATACGCCTCTCTTCTTGGCGCCGCGCACATTCATCTTCAAAAACTTGCAACTGGTGCAAGTTTGGAAGCCGACAAGCTTTCAGAATGCGGTGTTCGCTTCCGTGCCTCGCACATTCGTCATAAAACCTTGCAAGTGCTACAAGGATGGAGGCCGGGTCGCACATTCGAGTTCAAAGAATGGAAGAGCTATGAGAATGGACGCCCGCTCATATTCAAAATGGGGCTATCACGGGAGTTCCCTGAGATTACAATAAAACCAGAAGTCTGAAAATATTGACCAGCTGCACGGGGCATTGCTTGATGTTTCCGCAGATATCACGAACGACGCGTAAGCTTACGCAACAGGTACACGGATGGGGAACGCTTTCTTTTCCAAGCGGGACTCTCACCTGAATGGCAGGCTCATGTGGTGCTCGTCTTTCAACAGGGCGCTTCTTGCAGTGAAGATGAGGGCTTGCAGGGATCTCTGATGAGGAGTCTTCGGACTGAAGGGTGTATTGCAGCCTGGGTCTACCCTGCTCCTCGTCCTCCTCTGCCTCCTCCCCCTCCCCCTCCTCCTCCTCCTTCTACTCCTCCTCCTCCTCCTCCTCCTCCTCCTCCTCCTCCTCCTCCTCCTCCTCCTCCTCCTCCTCCTCCTCCTCCTCCTCCTCCTCCTCATCAAAACCAACCACCAGAATGTCGACGCGCACCCAGCCGCGGCGACGAGAACACCCCCCGCGAGGCCCCAGAGGGACACCAAACAAAAGATCGAGGACCCGAAGTTCGCAGCTCGAGCCCCCGCCCGCTTCAACCCCCCCTCCGCGCGGCCCGCGGGCACCCCGCCCCTCGCCAGGACGCCTGAGCAGCACGTGGACGCGGCTGCCGGGCCTGCGCGCGAAGAGCTGGCGGCAGCACTCCAGCACCTTCTCCGCCGTGTCCAGGCGGTGCGCCGGGGGGCCGTGCGGCGCG